ATAATAGGCTAATATAATATAGGGGCTTTAGTGGAGCACATTTATCCATTTCATTCAGAACAGCTACAAAGAAATATGAGAGGGACAACAATCTCAGGAAAACTTTGCAAAACACATTTCTGCTAAAACAGGAACGCTATTTTTTTATGAAGTCTTCAAATAAATTTATTTCAAGAACTTCTGCTTTTAATTTTTATTGATATCTAGGATTAATTCTGTTTTATTTAGAAGGTAAAAGTTTAAACCACTGATCTTCTTAGCATTGTTCACATTATTTAGAATATTTGTTTTAAAGCCCAACTTACAAGCAAGTGCTATATTAAAAATACTGAATGGAAGATTTACTGTTAGAAGCAATCTTACTGTTTAAAGCCCTAAGGAACTCAATGGTTTAAATGTTCTCTATGTATGTGAAACAATTCTAAAATTCTGAAATCCATCAGGAGCTTGTGTCTACTAAAAATATCTGATTTTTAGAATAAAAAGTTCTAAAAAGTGTAATAAGATTCTGAAGTTCATGCAAAAAGATGATAGCTTGTAATGATGGAAGTATTAGTAATATGAAAGCATTTGTTTGCTGAATTAGGTAACTTGTAATTTCTAAGCCAATTACTAGAGTGATGCTAATGAAAGGGTTTGAAAGTAACATTCTTTATCTCAAAGGAAGAGAGTAATGCTGAGAGTTAAAAGTGTGGCTGGGACTGGCTGACTGTATTTTTAGTAAAGGCTTAAGGTAAATTGCATGTAACAGTTGAAATAAAAAAAAAATACTTTTGTGTATTTTATTAAAGGTGGTAGTGTTTGTGCTTAATAAACTGATTATTTCAGAAATGTAAATATTGAAAACTTTCAATTCTTTATTTTGTAGAATCAACATCTGAGGAGACTGGACAAAGTGCAAAAGTGCTCAGGAGCAGGACGTGTATCATTAACTACAAGAAACACATAAAGCTGTCTAATATGACTGAGAAGAAAAATCCACGCAGATGTGCCACTTTGGCAGCTAATAAGATTAAGATAATGAGTGATACAAAGGAAGAATTATCAAGCTCAGAAAGTGTTTACACAGTAAAAAAGAACAGAAGGCAGCTTCATGGCAATGTGTCTGCAGCATCAAGGAAGAGACTGATCAGCAGCTCAGAGGTAGATGATTGCTTGAAGTTTGAAAATGAGAAAGAACAGCTTTCTGGCAGAAAAAAACTTTCCTGCACTGAATCATCTACTCCTAAAAGAAAATATATTAGGGAGTCTGAGAATGAAAAAACAGAATCTGAGGCAGAGATAAAAGTGACTCAAAATCAGAATGATGATAACCACAAGCAAGCACAGAAAATGGTCTGTGCTGTAGCTCTTAAAAATCTCAAATACAGCTCTTCAGAGGAGAATTCCAAAAACCACAAGATGGAAAACGGGAGAAACTGGGGAAGTTCTAGTCAGTCAACTTCAGCCCACAACCATCATACGAGCAACTCTGAAGAGGAGGTAGATTCTGACTTGCCTAAACATGAAACTAAAAATGTAAGAGAAGTATCAAATAAAAAATCCAGAGCCTCTTTCAGAAGATCAAAACTGTTGGATGACTTCAAAGAAACAGCAGAATCAGAAACAGGGAGGAAGAAAGATGAAAAAAGCTCAGTATCAGAGAATGTGGGAGCACCTGGGACTGCAGGAAGTTCAAAAGCCAGTTTCAATTGTTCTTCTGATTCAGACTCTGGAACTGATAACAGTATCTATAGTGATGCCACAGAAACAAGAAAGAGGAAAAGGAAATCAGAAATTGTTAGAAAAGAAATTACCAATTCCAACCCTTCTAAGCCTTCCAGAAGACCCCAGCGAAGGAAACGTTGGAAACCTAACCAAGAAAATGACTCTGAAGATTTGGATTACACCAAATACAGAAGAGCTAATCGGCGTTCTAAGATAAGAACTCGGAATGGTGGTAGGCGGACTGTGAGATACGATGATTGTGACGACGACGACGATGACAGAGGTTTAGATGATGTAGACTGCGAAACGTAACCTTAAAAGGAAAAGCCAGCCCACTTTTTTTTTTTTTTTAATGGTAATAGCACTAGAACTCATGATGGATGCTGGCTCTTCTTTGTCCTACATTTCAGGGAATATATTTATATTTTTCTATGAAAAAGTTATGAATGTGATTAGATGATGACTTTCTCCTTTTCATATTTTGACTTGCACTTGCCTGCCCATGTAGCAGCATTTAGCACAGATGCCAAAATGTGCCTCATTATAGGGGCAATTTTTTGTCTTTACTGGTATTTTATTACATATAACAAGAGTTAAAAAAAAAAAAGTTAAAACACTGCGCAACAGGTTACTAGCAGTATGTTGAGTATTATTGTTATGGGTGCTGCAATGGAATACTACCTAGGTCATACAACATTCAAGAACAGATTTCAGACATCTCTAATGCTGTATGAAATCATATACAATAGTAACAGGCTTATAAATAATCCTATACACTATAAAAATCTGGCAGATGCTAGCATTGCATCAAAAGAGTAATGGATGGTCAGTAGGCTAATAACTTTACAACTTGTATTAGTACAGATGTTAAATGTTCTGTACTTCCATTATTGATAACATGCAACTAGAACCAGTTACCAGTGAAAAAGCGTATTTGCCAATTACGAAGGCATATTGGTGCTGGTGAAGAGAGGGTTTATGCTGACAGGTAGTACTATCATAATTAATGTGACTTCTATACTGTAAACTTAAGAATATGAAATGCAGGTGAACTCTTGGGCCTAAGGGTTTTTGTGTGTTTTCTTTATAAAATAGAAAAACAAACAAAACAACTTGTTCTGTTTTCTTTACGCGTGAAAAGCTTGAGGTGCAGGATTCTTACATTCCAGACCTTTTTCTACATTTCTGTGGTTCTTCCATATTTAAAATCTTGAGTACTTTAATGTTAGACTTCTCATTGATTAAACCTCATCAGTTTCTGATTATTGCAGTACATCTCCTGTTTTCAAAATGTTTGAGGTGGCTGTTGTTGATAAGAAATAATTTTGTATAGAAGACAAGAGAACATTTCTCCAGGAAAAATGTGTAAATTCTTCGTTGGCCATGTATCAAGTATGAGAATGCATAGCACCTCTTACCTTGCTTTTCCCTGGAGCTGTGCTGCCTCCGGTCCAACACCAGGCACTTGGTGATCTCCACTCCTTTCCCACTCTCCATTATAGGTTTCCTCTCTCTGCTCTTCTGGTTCCCTTTCCTACACTTAGTAAGACTTCAGTGATTCCTGATCTCATTGTTCAATAGGATATATTTTAGAATATTAGATTTATCCTAACCCAGCTCATTTTAACCAAAATAGGAAGTTTGTGAATTAGTTTTCCAGCAGATTGGACTGGTAGTAGCATCTGGAAGGGTTTTTGGGGAAGAAAAAAAAAAAAAAGTTAGTGCAGCTGCATAATCACAGTCATTAATGCCAGAAATTCTTGTACAAGTGAAACTGGAGTGATGGGAAAGGGAATCCCACACGCTGCTTACCAGCAGTTAATGAGAAACACTTCTCCAACAATGTCGCTGACATATGTGCCAAAAGGTGTATTTACTATCATATATTTCTGGTGTCTAGACTGCTAACTCAGTTTTTCCCTCTTAAAACTTCTATATGAAGTCCAAAAATAACCTAGTTTATATCATTCTTGCCCCAGGAATTTTATTTAGAGCATAGTCCTTAATATGATACAGTAGACTTTTGTAAATTCAGGATAAATGTTTATCTGAATTCTTTAAGTTGGTTTCTAAAATATGAATGCAGTTGTGTTTAGTGATGAAACTTCAAGGTGGCTTTGTGTATCTTACCTTTTGGGGGCAACTTTGTTAAAAGAGAGTAAGTCAACTGGTATTTTCATATTATCCGTAAGCCAAATGCATTGTTGAGCAGCTGCTTATGATCAGTGTTCTATGGAGTATAACCTCCAGTATAGGAATAAATACTGGTATAATTGCTCTTCAGAGAACATCAGAGTTTTTATTAATCTTAAGTTTAAACAGCTAGAATTGGGCTGGTAGGTTTGTATTCGTAATTCAGGTTTAGATTTAAGAAGATGGTTTTCTTTCTCACCCTTTTTCAGATGCTGTGTTCTCTGTCAGACTGGCACTCATACTACACGTTCATGGTGATCTCTGAAAGCTGAGAGAAAGTTCTGGCCTCTGTATTTATATTTGAGAGGGAATTACTGCCCTAGGGACCGTAACACTTTATTTTCTTAGCTAAGAAAATCCTGGTTTGTATTTTCTGATTGTATACATGCAGACAGGTTCTGAAGAGCAGTAGGAAGGAAAATGATGAAACTGGAAAGGGACTCTTACTGGTTTGCCCTCTGAGTTTGAATATTTTTTAAAATTATTTCCTTAAATGAGCATGCTTTTACTCTTAACAGAACTGGCTCTTCTAAGCCTTGCAGAAAGCAGTTCTTTCATCTGGTAATTTTAATCAGTCAGCATTCTTTACTTGTTTTAGCTGTACTCAGGGAAGTAAAGTGATGTAGATGACCTGTAAAAGTAGTATCTTTATTTAAGGCTGCTTAATGCGGTGCATTTGTAAGCTGAGTGGGGTTTTTTTTTGCGGGGTGTGTGTGTTTTTGTTTTAAAGCAGGACCTGAATCTGTGATGGTGAACAGGCTAATGGGCAGCGTGCGCAGAGGAAAATACTAAAAGTGCAGGGCAGAAGCGTAGGAGAATCAATTTCTTTAATACTACAGACTTTGATGATGTACATGTAGAAGTGGACCAAAGTAAAGCTCTGCATAAACCTGTAACGTCACTGTGCTCTTATTTGCCCATGTCTGGTATGTTTAACCCTGCGGTACTGGGGTTGCCCGAGGCGCGGGGCCGGGCCTGTCTCGGGGCCGTTCCGTTTGAAGGCAGGCAGAAAAGCTCCCGGGCGCTGAGCCTGCCGAGCCGGCGGGGGG